CCCCAAAACCCCAAAACCCCAAAACCCCAAAACCCCAAAATGCTAAAATAAGTTGATCAATTATTAATTTCTGTGAGAATGGAAGTGTACCTTGAATGCCCAATATGCCAGGCCCAAATCTATCCAGGTCAGCAGTATTGTAATCTACACGCATACCAATCCTTTGAGAAAGATTCCAGAAGCCTAATCTCGCGCTCTCTTCGTGATTGGAGGAAATAAAACCAAGCTTGCTTTGGATTCTAAGTGTTCGATTACATGAGGTAAAGCTGAAGACAGTATGCTCAGCTGTGAGAACACTATTGGTGAAGTAATTTTGATTAATGGTTACTCAAAGGTCTACTCACTTGTTGATTCTTGGCAATACCACTAATCAGGTTCATCATCCAAAATTGTATTTTTCTAAATTTAAAGGCTTGCTCCTTCCTGAAATAGAAGATATTACCTTTCACAAAGACAATAGAAAACAGAAGAAGGACATCACTGAATATTTTGCTCCTTTAAAACATCAGTTGCATAAAGCCCAGATTTATCCAGGGAGTTCTAAGGATGACAGACTGGGCTGGTTATTTCCCATTATCACTAGAATATCTGTCAAAATGAACAGGCTTGATTTATGGAAATTTTCAATGACACAGAATCAATTTTTTAGAATCGTGCTAGCACTAGGAAGGGTCAAGAGACAAATATTTTGAGATTGTAAAATCATAGGGAAGAGCAAGTCTTCTTTCAAGGTCCCAATTTTTTATATCAGCAAAAGAAAGACTCTAACCAAGGAAATTCTGATAGTTAGATTTAGCTTCCAAGGTAATCCTAATTATACAAAAACTGAATGAATACATTAGCTGTGGCATTTTAATTTATTTAATTTTCTAAGCTTTACTAAAACCCATTCTAAAGGAAGTCATTGAATTAAAAAATGTGTGAATCCAAGTTATCACCAGACCACAATGAAAGTTCCTAAATGAGGCTATTATAGAATTTACAGCATAGTATCTATAGTTTATCTTATTCGGTATGAAAATATAGCATTGTCCTTTTGGATTTTTGTGAAATGCTTGGATCATACACCATCCTCTTTTTGAGAAGCTCTTCCCAGAGAATCATAGAATCGCTTTTTGGATTTTTGCAAAATCTAGATACCTTTGGATATAGTCAGAGTCAAGGGCAACGCTCGAATCCGAGCTTAAGGATGTTTTATTGAAAATTTCACATATTTTTTTAATAATATTGATCTAAGTGCAAAATTTAAAATGGGGTTTTATCATGCTACAAAGTCGATATAGTTGATGAGGACAATTTTATGCAGACAATCAGAGGATTCTATCCAAATTCTGAAGTAAAAGCGATAAAATAATAAATTCTTCAATCTCAATTCTTTATTCCTCAATCGGGGTTTTGGGGTTTTGGGGTTTTGGGGTTTTGGGG